TCTGAGAGCTGACTAACCTCTCTTCGTGTGCCTTGATCTTGGCCTCTAGCCTTCTCCTCCTTGGAGGGTAATGCTCTATGTGGCTTGTGGTGTTCATCTTATAGCCAAGCATCTCTAGGATCACTGTTGCTGTGGCATACATCAGCTCATTGGTCTCGGTTATGGCTTTAGTAGGGATAGTATGTAGTGCTGCCTTCACATCTTCTAGCAGACTTTCAGAGGGTACTTTGTCACTTAGCCTTGGCAATCTTGGTCGTTGTACTTGGGGGTTCAGCTTGGTTATGATCTTCAATCGTAGGTCAGTCGCCCTTATGTTGAGTGATTCTGTGCCGTAAGGGCTTGTTGTTATTGGGGCTTGGGACCCAATCTCTGAGTGTGGAGATGATGATGACATCTCCCCGCTGATCTGTCGTCCTGGCTCCCCCTTGCTGTAGCAAATTTGTTGTACCTCATCAATCTCTAGTTGTGATAGGAGTTGCCGTTTGCGATGTTAGAACACTGAGCTAGGTGTTGTTTCTCTGTCAGTGTTGATGATGGGTTTCAAAGCATCCATATATCCCACAGTCTCTGCATATAACCCCTCTCACCGGGATTGCTTGTATAGTAGCATTGCATCAGATCCATATTTTCTGCTTTAGTCCATGAATGTCTTGTTCCAGTAGCCCATTTGTCATCAGGTTGCCCTGGCTCCGTAGCACCTGACGTGGACCTTGTTGACACGGGCGACGTCCGAGCCGGTATGGCTCTTGTATTTGCGGTTTCACTCATGCCTGAGGTAGGCAAGTAGCAAGTAGCAAGTAGTATTAAGGACCTTGCCTAAGGGTCCACCTAGATACCCCCACACAGGACATTCTTTCATAAGAGGCAGTAACTTTGACCGACCGGACACGACCAGTTATTGTTTGCTAAAAATTTAGGATCCCCTGGATTAAAGATATTGTTCTTTTAAGACCTCTGATCAGTAATGTAATGATAATTTGATCACTAATGATAATTTACAGTAGTTTTTTTTTTAATCAAATCTTTATTTAACCAGGCAGGACACTTAAGAACAACTTCTTATTTACAAGGGTTTTCAAATTCATATATTGTCGTATAGTCATTAAAAGCTCCCCTAGAAACTTCACATCACTAACAATCACACACGCTAAGCCCCGGTTCCCCCACCATCATACTGTCCACTGTCTCTTCTGTCTCTGCCTCAAACCTCTTGCCTTTTTCTTCACTGCAGACAGCCACACCCAGGTGACCACATAAACAGATGGTCTGAAGAGACTTGCATGCAGGTTTTAAAATGATCTGCTTGTGAGGACCCTCCACTGACAAGTGCAAGCATAAATAGGCATAGGCATTTTTAATTCATACAAAGGTTGTGTGATCCACAACACACTACTAAGCCTACATAATGTAACAACACTGCCTTACTAGTTGGCTTAAAATAGCTTAAAAAAACAACCTAACGTTTAGTTAACATACCTCAATTTCCGTACGGTGAGCCAAAGTGGCAACCTCCATCCCAGCAAGCAATAGTCGTCATTTCACCGTCTAGGTTTACTATATCCCTGATTCAGTCCGGCTATGAGTAACCCACTTCCAGCCACAATAACTTTACATATGGTTACATGATGTTTTTGCCATAATAACTTGCAAGGTGTATGATATTCCATCATGTACGCAAGGTCTACAGGGATTACAAGGTTTTTGTTTAATTTCTGTTGTTGATGTTTTACGCGCAGCCTGTGCGTAGCCACGATATAGCTCCTGGGCTACAAATAGTTAAGTCAAAATGGTCAAAAATGATTAATAGTGTTTTTTGCCCTGGCAGTACATGAGATGGTTGATACCCCATTATTTTTGCAATGTCAATAATATCTACAAGATATTAAGTATCATTTAATTGACATGGTCTATGTAGTCACGATTTAGCTCTTATTTTGACAGGCTACGTGTAGTTTTAGCCCACGCAGTGAAATAGAGGCAATCAGTGGTCTAATATCAACGGCTTGGCTGTAGCCCTGTTTCAGACCAAATTGGTTACATGTAGTTTTCACCCATGCAGCTGTTGAGGTGCGTGACATCATATCATCAAATTCAAGTAAACATTTGAAACATTTAAATTATCTTTATATTCGCGGTAACGTTCCCTGCATTAACTTTCATTTTAATTTTAAACAAAATGCAATTACTAATTTCAACCGCTAGATGGCAGCTGTAGTCCTACTGAGACATGACTACTGGCAACGCGAGACTTGAAAGTTTGTAGACATCAGAGTTGCCAGATCTCGTGAAAAACATATCTGCCATTTTTAAACGAGGGATATGTTACGACTTCGGCCTTTCAGCGAGCAACGGGCGAGAGTTTACTGCAAACACTGGAAGCGAAAAGACATTTACTTTGGTCTTGTAAGTATCTGTGTCTTTATTTGACATGTCTTCATTATTTATCTACATTATTTGTTAACATGTAGGAACCTTGACATTTCAGCGGGTAACGGTGTAGAATAAGTCACGTTGTGGTTAGCTTAACATGCTGCTTGCAAGTGTAACTTAATTGTTACTCCATGATACCCACAGGTTTCCTCGTGCCCTTAAAAACTCTTACATTATATTATCTGAATTCAGAGGGGGTGAACATGAAACCTTACCTATTATAATTTGTTATGAAAGCCACACATATATTTTACTCACTAGATCATGATATCAATTTGCGTTTTTGACTTTTGACACTAAATATTTATTGCAAATTATACAGCATACAGTCAGCAAAGCACAACAATAAATATTCAGAACAGAACACTTACATTCACAGCACATAGCTCTCTCCAAAGAATAAAAGCTGCTTTCCCAATTGTCTATTTGGTTGTTCTAATGTAACATCATGGCAAAAACATGTGTCCTTTTCAAGTATCTTTATAATAAAATAAGGGTTTTTAAATTAAAAAGAAAAAAGCGTTATAAATTAAAAGTTGTTTTTTTTTTTACCTTCATTAAAATGATAATTAGAAATATACTGTATGTTTTCATTTAAAATGATTTGCTGATAGTAGTCATGTCTTAACAAAACAGTGAACACTTATAATGTTTACTTATATTCATATTCTTACATATTTAACAGTTACCCGAGAGACTGGCGCCACCCGAGAGACCCATCTGATGCTCTTGCTGCATCAAGTAGCAGCTTAGATGAAGATCTAGTTTTGGATGCAGCCAACCCATTTATTTTGTCATTATTTATGTTTTTATTAAGGCATGTTGTTAAAATTGGTAGTATTTTCATATAAACTGTTTTGTATTTATAATATATCAATAATTCCTTTATATTTTCATCATGTTGTATTATCTTAAGTCTACGTTGTTATCCTTTTTCTTAATAAAATCTTTATATTTAATTTGTTTGGACTGATTATTATTTATGAGAACCTGTTATGTTTGAGTAAAAAAAAATCCTTTAGCCACTATTCTGTACGTCTATTAACTTTTCACTGACAGCCCAAATTCAACCTTGTTTTAGCTTATACCCATTTTCACCGTCTAATACACGTCTATATGTAGCCGTTCAATGGTGGTCTGATTGATGACTAGACTATTTTTGGGCTATGGTTAGACGTCTACCAAACTTTCACTGACAGCCCAAATTCAGCCCTGTTTTAACCTACACGTCTGGGCTATGTTTAGACATCTATTAGACATCTTTTATCTGTGAAATTGCTTGCTGGGATGGCTGAAAAATTAAGCTAATGTGGAAGTACCAAAAACTTAATTAATTAAGTTAAATTAATTAGTTAATCTTGCTTTCTGTAAAACTCAACAGATCTAATTTTAATCTGTACAGCTGTCAGTCTGCACACTCCTCATGTCATGATTGACAGCTGAACATTTCTCACTATTATATCGGCCGGAGTAGGTCCCAGATGTGCTCTGCCTGTCAGATCTGATTTACAGATGCCATAACACATCAACACATTATGATTGGCTGTATGTTGGCTGTATGGATGCCATGTGCCACAGACTCAAGCCACCAGGGAGTGTACCATGCTTTGAAGGCAATGTGACACAATGGCCAAACCTTTGGATTACATCTTCCAGGTACGTCACATGATGCACACTGGCACACTTTTTTTGTCCTAACCTCTGCGAAATGACTCATTTCACTACCAGAATTAAATGAATTTGCTCTGATAACATTTGGAAGGCTGCACAATTAAATTATTTTATCCCCATTCAAGATAACCGAGGGCTAAACCAGAAGTTAGCAGCTCCACAAGTCTCGGGGGTTTGCTCTATAGGCCCCATGATGCCGAAGCTATGCAGATCCGGGTTGTTTTCATCAACAGAAGTCAACCTTTTTTGGCTACATGAGCCACTGAGCAGCTTTCATAGGAATGAACAGGGCCCTGACTCTGATGCTTCATTCTGTTCTCCTTATGCATCAATAGTGGCGATGAGTCATCCATCTTTATTTAATTTGCTAAGCATAACAAATGGCCCTGCAAGATGGATTCCATTTGTAATATCACAGACTGAACCCTTTCACATTGTTTAAAATGTGTAAGACGTGTTACCTTGTTGGTCCTGAGGTTAACTGCAGTATTAGTAGAGGATTTATTACTGTGTTTTTCTATCACTCTTGGTACTTCTCCTTCCTTCCTTCTCTTCTGTGTGTCTTTTTTGTCTCTAAATTGATGACTGACTCACTCCCTATGTCCTTTACCACAGCCAGTAGGTCATTGTGTTTGTGTATGGCAGTCACGACTGCAAGTCTTGATTACTGTGTGACATTGCAGCAGCCCTGAGCATGCACATCTCTCTCTCTACAGTGAATCTCCTAACATAGGCATAATTTTAAACATCGTAGTAGATCCTGTCTTCAGCCATTCTCAGTATACGGTTACAATTTCCTTTAAGATTTGGAATCATTCATTTGCAAACCAGTTGTGTTCAGACTAGAAATGCATGCTGGGATCTGTCAGTGTACACGTGAATGAAACTTTTCAGCTTACCTTATAGGCCGCTTCCCTCATGAACTGCTTTGCAGGCATTTTCCAGATGGCAGGAACAGTGATTACCCATCTCACATCATTATTATCAAACTCGCCACCAGTCTGATCACTCAGCTCCTGCAGGAGGAAAAGCCAAACACAACCAACAGGTTAGAAAACTTACGGGCAGGGTTAGTGGGACACTGTGGGCTCAGACTATTGGGGTAAAATATTTTAAAATTCATAAACAAGAATTACTGGGTCAGATTTATTGCTTATTGAATTACATGTTCCCAGAGCTATTTATTATATCACAAAATACAGTCAGATTAGGTATTTTTGAATACTACTACTACCATATAATAAGTAATTGGAGCAAACTGACCACTGGCTTCAGGGTTCATGCTGGGATTGAGCCCAAATTCTACAGTGTAGTTATAAGACTAGCAAAATAGAAAATGCATTGTATGTGTAATACAACAGAAGATACACGAGTGCTTACATGTTACATGCATGTTACCTTTAGTGCTTGCTCCTTAAAGAAGGCCAATGCATATGCAAAGATATCAAGAGCTTTCACTCGCTTCCCATTGGCCGCTTGGAGGTCTGTGTCAATGGACAGATTCTGATTGCAGAATTGTAGAGAAGTTATTGAATTTAGAGTTGAATGAAGGACAATATAATCAAAACAGTTCAGAACAAGAGTACATAGACACATTCATCATATGAAGAGGGGATATGATGTCTAGATTTGCAATTACATTTTCAGCATCTTCTGTGCGGATCTGACATGCTGCCACTGGCAGAAATGTCTCCCATATAGCCAAAATTAGGAAAGGTCAACAGTATGCTGCAGTATCAGCTCAGGCTCATAAAACTGAAACACAGTACATAACAAAATCCAGAGTGATGTGCATTTCTACAGTATGTTTCTATCCTTACTGCAGTGGTGTGAAGCTTCATTTTAAATTTTTCCAGGTAGAGCCAGTGTTTGGACTCGCTGGGGTCCAGGTCATGGTAGAAGTCACGCGCCGCGTAGCCAAAACTGTGGAACTTCCTGTCTGGAGTCAGCAGGATTGTGGTTGGGGTCTTCTGATTAGACACACCAGGGTCCCCCCCTTCCCAACGCCTGGGAGGAGAATAAGTCAGTTATCAATGTACAGTAAGTACCATAAATCTGTATTTCTGCTTTTGTATTAATAAAGTAGAGAGCTTTGGAACTGTTAGAACCTTTAAAATGTCAGCTGAATAATCATTTCCCAGGTGAACCTGTTTTGACACTTTCATCAATTGCACATGCTGTTATGAATCTATTATAAGCTATGTGTGAAAAGTCAACACATTTCAGTTCATGCTTTTTGTAACAGTTCACAGTTAACTTGTAAACACTTCTGTGAGGTTCAAATCAGTAATTAAATTCTGTCAGAAAAGGCATATGAACTTATCTTCTAGGCTAATTGAGCTATCACACTATTTCCGGACAAATGGGGGCCAGCTATTATTAGTGTTATCTCTGTTCCTTGGGAGAAGTGTATACTGGGATTATGGAGGCCATCTAAAAAAGGCCTTGTTCAGACTGCGAGTGAAAGTGTATCCAGACTGACTTTAGTATGGACAGCAAAAACTTAGAGATGCAACGATCAACTGGCCAGTTTTCATCTTAGTTGTCCATGACCAGTGACCGGGCCTGATCAGTGTCAGATATCCAATCCTGTTCCGGTCGCATTTACACACATGCTGCTCTGCAGGGTGTTTCACATCATGTGCATAGCAGTACAGTCAGTAACAGACTACTGTCAAACACACACAAACATACACACATGCTAAAACATGTCATAGGCATGCCACAGTAGGCTATATTTAGCTACCCATTTTAGCACTTTGCACAGAAACACAGAGAGAGACGTTATCTTAGAAGACGTGGACATGGTGGATATTTTAAAACACGAACCAGGAAAAGCAACAGTGAACAGATCAGTGCAATGTAATTCAGTAGGCGATGGCATTAACAACATGCCTTCTCCATATGTGGCTCAACTGCTGGTGAAACCGCGGGTGAAAAAATCCAAAATGCAAGTTTTTGGCCGACTTCATAAAAGTGCTGATGAAAAAAGTCAACAGGCGCACGTGTACAGCAGCCAGTTAGTTTGAAAACCAGTAGGGATACAACACCGGTCATAGCTAGAACAAAACGCAGCTGCCTTGTTTTTTACGATTTGGTTTTGAAACGAAATAACCAAAGAATGAACCATTCAGATTCAGATTAAAGTCGTTTGTGAGGAAACACTAAAATAAGGTGGAGAATTAAGTAGGATTAAAATCTAGTTTCACCAGCTGAAAAAAAGTGTTTCTCTAATAACCTACCACAATTAATCCAAGGTTAACATACATGTATCAAATTGGATTACTACAGCAAGCTAACAGTAACCTGATTACATAAACAATGACGTAAATCACCTTTTTTTTGGTTAGTAAATCACACCGAAAATCAAAGTAAACAAACTGAAATCTCAGGATAATTCAACCTGTGTGACTTTCATAACAGCAACTCATAATGTGACTCAGTAGTGTGTTTGGCCCTCACGCCCTTCTATGCACTCCTGACAATGTCTGGGCATGCTCCTGATGAGACGGTGAATGGTGTCCTGGGCATCTCCTCCCATACCTGGATCAGGGTCTTAGGGCGTACTCACACTAGGCCCGGTTGCCTTGTACCGTGCCGGAGCATGTTAACGTCATCACTCAGTCAGTGTTTTCCATACATTTATTTGTTTGTGACGGCCCGGCACAGTATCAACGCTGACCGCCACATATTGATATGTGATTTTCTTTTACTAGGCCTATTTAAAATTGTAGTTGATAGCAGAGTGCTGTGCATATATTCGTGCAACACCTTGTCTGTCTCTCTCCCTCTCTCTGAACACAGCCGCACAAATCTGTCCAACACAACTGTCAATGTCGGAGACCCACCTTAAAAAAACTTATTAGCAAGCATGTAAGGAGCCTAGCTGATAAGGAGAGCTATGTTAACTTTAGATCACAGCTGGGTTTTTGAGGTAAGCACGCTGTACATGGCTGGAAGTAAATATCGACTGTCATTCTGTGAAAAAAAGCACTCTTTTTCCTGCATGGCACAGTGGAGTTTGAGTCGGGATTGCTAGGGCACGGTTAGCGATCACACTAGATGCGTACCGTGCTGGAGTCCAGTTTAAGGAGCGATCACACTGGTCTAACGAACCGGACTTTTGGGGTTACACGTGCCTGGGCACGGTATGGATGGCCTAGTGCGAATACCCTTATTGAGCTCCGGGACTGTCTGTGACGATACTCTGTCGCGTCGGATGCACTGAAAGATAATGTCCTAGAGGTTCTCAATTGGATTCAGATCTATGTGGGTCAGTCATAGGCATCAATGCCTTCATCATCCAAGAACTGCCTTCTGGCCACATGAGGCCGGTCATTGTCCTGCAGTAGGAGGAACCCAGGGCCCACTGCACCAGCACAAGGTCTGACAGTGGCTCTGAGGATTTCATACTGGTACCTAACAGCAGTCAGCATACTGTTGGCTAGCAGGTCTATACAACTCTCCAAGGATATGCATCCCCAGACCATCACTGACCCACTACCAAACCAGTCATGCTGGATGATGTTGCAGGCAGCAGAACATTCACCACGGCGTCTCCAGACTCTTTCACGTCTGTCGGATGTGTTCACTGAGAACCTGCTCTCATCTGTGAAGAGAATAAGGCGCCAATGGTGGACCTGCTAATGCTGGTGTTCTCTGGAGGATGCCAATGATGTTACACAGTGCTGGGCTGTGAGCACAGATCCCACTAGAGGATGTCGGGCCCTCATGCCACCCTCATGGAGTTGGTTTCTGACACTTTGGTCAGAAACATGCACACCAGTAGCCCGCTGGAGGTCATTTTGTAGGGCTCTGGCAGTGCTCCTCCTGTTCCTCCTCTCACAAAGGAGCAGATGCCGGTCCTGCTGCTGGGTTGATGCCCTTCTACGGGCCTGTCCAGCTCTCCTCATGGTCTCCTGGTGTCTCCTTCGTGCATTTGAGACTGTGCTGGGAGACACAGACTCTTTCTCATGACGGCAAATATGGATGTGCCATTCTGTAGAAGCTGGACTACCTGTACAACCTGAATGGGCTGCAGGTACCATGCCAGTAGTGACAAGGATACTAGCAAAATGCAAAACTAGAGAACAATCAGAAGGATAAGGAGAGAGCAACTGTCTGTGAGCACCACCAACAAAACCATTCCCTTTTTGGGGGATGTCTTGCTGTTGCCTCTCCAGTGTGCCTGTCACTTTCATTTGCACCAAAACAGGTGACAATGATTCACAATCGTTATGCTTCCTAACTGTACAGATTGATATCCCTGAAGTTTAACTGACTTGATGTTATAGACGGGTATCTTGTATACAAACACTACTGGATGCGCGTGCAGCCAGGGGGCAAAAGCGCTTTGGTAGCCAGTCAGAAGACTGTAGTGAACCACTGTAATCAATGTAGATTATGCATTGTTTGTAAATTCTGTCATTCAGAGTTGGATCTGTTTGTTTGAGTTTCATTTCGCTGCAGGACAGTGAAACCGGACGTAATGTTGTTCAAGTCAGCTGCTAGCCAAAAAGCTAAAGGAAGAGTGGAGAACAATGGAGAGAGGCGTTCTTTTCACAGCAGTAAGTCACACTCAGAGATACAACATACTTGCTTGATTTAAAAAAAAATCTCTGACAGATTTAAAGATCATTATATGCTTCGTAAAAGTCCTACTCATCGTTGCTGTTATGAATATGCCATTAGTTTAAAGAGTCGAGAGGGACCTGCTTTGTTTTTTTATTATTTTTAAAAAGCCTATATCCATTGCCTATATGATCCAGCATCCTCTGGTCTGAGAGGCTGCAGTGTTTCCAGTTCAGCTGCTTGTTGACTTTCTAAAATACACTGCTGAACAGGTTTCCCGTCACTTTTAAGGCTGGGGTGCGGTGGTTGAAAGTAATTGTAACGGAACGAGTAACGTGACTACTTACTTTTAATACCCAGTAATAAGTATAAGTAATTATTGTAATATTGTTACTTTTTAAATGAGTAATAAGTAAAAAGTAAGTCATTACAATTTCTGAGTAATTTGCCCAACACTGCAGCTAGATATGCCGCTAAGACAGAGTGCTGCTTCCTGCCCCCAGTTACACGCGCATCTCTGTAATGATGTTGCACAGAAACCCGTCTATAGTTGAAGTAAATTTATAAAGATAGTGTTTGTTCTGTTTTTGTAGTTTATTCCAGAGGAAAACTATATTTGTTAAGCTACAAGATGTTCGCAGTAACCAGGCTGCTATGGTTTAAGTCTCTAAGAAAGAAGGAGTGTAATTTGTTGCCCATGTTTCCTGGTAATAAAATAAACAGTTGTTGTTTCATGATACTTTATCATCTGTTAATTTTAATCCTTAATACATTGTTTTTAGGACTAATTAAATAAATATACAGTATACTGTATAATGCTACATGATAAATAAAAGGCTTCATATAGACCCAGAGATCTGTAATTGGTATCGGCTGATACTGTTTTCAGCAGAACAGAAATTTATTTCAATATCCTTTATGTTTCCTATATTGATGTGTATACTTGTATACTTGTGAAAAATAAAAACCATTCTGTTTTGAATGTGTTTTGAACAGTTTTGGACACAAGGCGTTCGCATTTGAAAAATGTGCTGCAAATATATATTGTTTTGCTGGTGGTGGAGTAGAAATGAGAAAAGAGTTCATGGATTTTGGGGAGAGTGGTCACTGAATACAATTTTGTAAGAGCAATAAAAGTCAGTTTCAGTTTTGACCAATGCAGGTAAGCAACTGAAAAAAACTGTAATTTCATTATAATTTACATACATGTAGTTATCCCAAAGCCTGTGACTAAGACTAAAGACTAATACAAACCTAGGTTACACGCTCTGTCAAAGTCTGTCTCTGTCCCTCCTCTTCAGCCACTTTCCTGGTTCCCCAGGCCCTTTCATTACCACTTCCCTCCTTCCCCCATCATCTGAACTGGGAAGTTATTAAAGTCAGAACAGTGACTCTGGCAAATGCTGCACAGCATCTCCAGCTGGCCACGTGGGGCTGAGCACCTCTGAGAATTACAGATAGCTGACATATTCTTCTTCCCTAGCCACTTAACCACCAGGTAAAACTTTACATGTCGTGTGATGTTGGGGTTGATACTGTAGCATATGAATACAAAAAAAAAAAAAGGTGATGGGTCAGAAGAAGTGTCCTAATTCAACAAAAGAATGATATTGAATGGCTTCAGTTATTTTATGCTTCCCAACAAGCTCTCAGCTGCTGAACGCTGATTTCACTGGTTAGTGTCAAAGTTTTCATCTACTTTGTGGTCTCCAGTGTTTCCACAAGTTAATACATCTTGCCTCTTCAAGACATCATTCACTGCTTTATCTGGTGGTATGCCATGGTCCTTATTTGGTTATTAATTGTTCATCACTGTTTTCACTTCATTTATTCTTGGCTGCATTTATTCACTCATGTGAATGCTTAGTGGTTATTAGTTGTGTGTGTAGAAGTTCACTCTTCACAAGACAAAAACGTACTAGCATCATCCAGTATTAAAGCAACATTATGTAGTATTTTTATCTTAAAATAACAGCTTCAAAATCATTTTGATGTTACACTGATTGTGATAGGGTGAATAGTGTCTCTATCATCGCCACTGTGGCGATGTAACGCTGGAATCCTGCGCAGGACATTTATCACAACAAGAGTTTTTTCCCCTCAAAATAGGGATATATGATTCTTTTTCTTTGGTATTTTAAATTATTAGATTGATTCCAGGATCGTTATAATCTGCATATAAGCTTTAGCCCACCCCATACTTCTTGTCAGTGTCTGCATTGCAGTGGTGGCCTACCTCATAGTGTGAATGCACTCTGGCTCCTTAGTGAAGGCGTAAGCATAACCACTGGAAGTGGTGCCAAAGTCAATGGCAACCACCACCAAAGACGGCCCTGATGGTACTTGGTCTGTGTCGTTCTGCTGTACAGAGAATACACATTTCATAGGGTTAGGCCATGTGATGGTGACATTTCATGAGACCAGCTGACTGACTTCAATGAGAGGGTTACATACACACACACACACACACACACACACACACACAAGCAATTTAAGCTGTAAATAGCCCACTATTATTAAAATAATAGTTCTGTAAATATTGTGTTTGATAAAGGGCTGCTAGGGGCAGAAGAGTCACTGGTTCAGAAAGTATCTTCCTCCTGTATATGTGTTTTATCACTGTTGCTGCAGTGACGTAATCTGGTCCTCCCACTGTGGTTTTCTAACATTGTTATGTAAGACACGATGAAGAAGAGGAAACAATAAATAGCCAGTGAAAAGGGGCAAGATCAGACCGACCAGACACTGTTACACCAGTATGGAAGTAAAATATAATATGACTCTCTAAATACAGGTATTGTAGTAGTCAAACGGTAACAAAAACCATTTTGTCACAAGATTTACAGAATGACAGTGAGAAAAACTTCTTTTTTTTGAGGAATCACTACTGACAGGAAAACAAACAGCCTAAAATGTATGGAAATATAAATAAATTAGTACATGTGCATAACAGAACTGAGTAACCTGAGTGTGCGAAGGAGACAGTGGGGTGATTCCAGGGTCGCCCATGCTCTTTGCTGGAGAAGGATTAGCCATCGCATCTGTACAGGAAGACAGAGAAAGATATCGATGTCACGATCACTCACTGTACCTTTTTCACATTGGACAACACCAAGGTGCTAGCTGTTAAAACTAAACTGTCACCACAAACAAAGCATTATTTATTCCATTTATTAATCACAGCATTTACAATAATCACTTAAAATCAGCAGGGGAGGCACGCAGAAACATCTGCTTTTCCCTCTCTCTCCATGACTGTCCCTTCTCTTCCCCGTCATGTCTGTGGTTTGCTGCTACAATGGGGGGAAAATGGAGTGAGGGGCAAACGTTCCATTTACAACCACGAAAAGCAAACAAGCTAAGACACCGAACTTAATGACGTTTCTTCTGTCAGTCTATCTATCGAGCTCTATTATTGTCTTATAATGATAATTTAGGAGATAGAGCAGGTCATTGATAACTGCCTCAGGTTAGTAATAGTTCCTGTTGGGGACAGTGTGACGTGTTTGTGTGTATGTTATACTGTCTTACTGTGTTGGCATTGATAAAATTTTGACCTTTAAGGTTAAACAACCACAAATTCCTGTGATCTGCAGTCACCTTAATCCTCCTGGAAAATATAGGATCAAGAGCGGAACTTTCAGTTCTACTAAAACAGCTATTTAGTGGCACCCTAATTCAAATGGCATTATTTCATTAGCTTACCACAGGAAATTTCTACTGTAAACAGTAACTAAGATGTTGAGCACAATGCTACAAACACACTTAGTAGAAATGCCATGATTGGTCAGGTGGCTAAAAATGTCCTTGGTTTGATCCCTGTAGCTGGCAGGAGGTTTCCTCTAATGGGCCATTATGATCAAACGATGGTAGCTGAGGATCAGGCTCAGAAAGTAAACTCAGGAACTACTGTGAGGTGCTGCCAAAGAGGCTCAGAACCAAGAACTGAACACCAAATCACCCTAGAGGCTCTGCCAGGCTGCTGACCCTGACTCTGGAAAGTCCAGGCTGTGAAGCATGAGATGTGAAAATATGGTTCTTTTCCTGGTCCAGA